CCTCACAATCAAAGGCATCTGGGCCTACTCCGGGTCCGAGCTTCCTAAACCCTAAACCCTAAACCCTAAACCCTAAACCCCAAACCCCAAACCCTAAACCCTAAACCCTAAACCCTAAACCCTAAACCCTAAACCCTTCCTGAAGCCCCCGGCTCAGTGAGGCCGGCCTCCTGTGTAAGGCTGCGCCCAGGAGCTCGGCCACCAGCGCCAGCAGAATTAGCCTGGCTGCTTGCGGGTTACAACAAGGGATGCTGAACCCCCTGAACCCGAAACCCTAAACCCTAAACCCTAATTATAAACCCTAAACCCTAAACCCCTGTGAACCCTAATCCCGAAGACCCTGAACATGCAACTTTCAGCAGCACTATACGTGAGCACGGGCACACGTCACACGAACCTCGTGAAGCACCCTCAACCTTGAGACCGGACAACGAAGCCTGTCAAGAAATCTGAACCCCTTAGGGTTTCGGGTTTAACCCTAAACCCTAAACCCTAAACCCTAAACCCAGTATTTCTGGGATTCTAGACTACGCTACTTACTTGGACCACATGCTGGGCGGGTTTGTTAGGGTGGGAGGAGGTATAGGATCCCGTAAGGTATAAGCCATCAAGATGAACCTTCCAAAAATACCCGAGCCCTTGAATTCTACACACATAAACCCTACGCCCTGAACCCTTAAAAACCCCTAAACTCAAGACAAACGAAACAAAAAGAACTACAAACGCCCAAAACTAAGCCGTTCAAGCCCTAAAGTAAAAAAATAAAACCTTAACGCCTTCAAGATCCCCCAATTCCACGCCCAACTCCCTAACCCTAAACCCTGAACCCTGAACCCTAAACCCTAGCCCCCAATCCTTAAGCCCTTATAAACCCAAAACACCCTTTTTTTCCTAAACCCTGAACACTCTCTGCTTGCGGAAGCGCATGAGAGCGCCAGAGCTGCAGAGATGCACGAAGGCCTGGAAAACAGGCGCTCGAGGGTTTAAGGGTTTGTGGAGGTTTTAGGGTTTAGGGTTTAGGGTTTTAGGGTTTTAGGGTTTTAGGGTTTTAGGGTTTTAGGGTTTTAGGGTTTTAGGGTTTTAGGGTTTTAGGGTTTTAGGGTTTTAGGGTTTTAGGGCTTGTGGGGGTTTTAAGGGCTCAAGGGTTGAATGCTTTATCAAGGGGCTTGAGGGCGCGTCGGATGTCCTGGAGCCAGGCTCAGTCCTAAAGGAGGCGCTAAACCGTGCTGTTTTGATCCTCCTGTTCGTGTGAGTCTTGAGGTGCTACAGTATGCCCCCTTAAGCTCCTGAGCCCAGAAGCTCTGTAAAAAAAGAAGCTACAGACTCTTTGTCGTCACCCTGCGCCCTGAGCCCCAAAGCCGTCAACTTTTGAGAGTCCCACCGAGATGACGTCGAGCTCGTGGAAGTAAGTGGGATCCCAGTCCCGCGACCGCGCCGACCTATCCAGATTCTTGACCACGAACTCCTGAGTCGATGCCAGGAGCTTAGGGTGGTTTCATGGTCCCTTAGTGTGGACCCTTTAAAAGGGGGACCCCTTGTATGCGCATATATACCCCTTGTATACCCCATTGAGGGCCCACACATCAGAACCCTGCAAGGGAGATAAGGGACCATGTGAAGGGCCCGTGTAACTACCCATAGTAAGGAAAGGAGGTTTGGGGTCATGAAAGCAGGTTTCGGTTTCGAGTCTGAAGGTTTTGGGGTCTATAGGGCAGGGTTTAAAAACTTGGCTGTGGGGTTTGGGGGCGTGAACTGTGAGTTGGCTAAAGGAGATAAAAAGTTTCTGGGTTTAGGGTTTAGGGGTTAACTAGGCTGCCCAGTAACCTAGGCTTAAAAAGGGTGCCTTTTTTTGCTTCAAGGGGTTCATAAGGGAACCTAAACCCCCAAAAAGGGGTTAAGGGTCCTACTGGGCATCCTAGTATAAGGGAACCCAAACCCCCAAAAACAAGGGAACAAGGGCCTACTCAGGGTACTACTGGGCATCCTAGTAGGGTTGCCAAGCCGAGAGTCAAGGTCCCGCTCCCCAGGGAGAGCGCCGAGGGCGTCCACGCGCTGGCCGGGGCGAACCAGTTGCCTCTTGGGGCTTCCCTAAACCTTAGGGTTTAGGGTTTAGGGTTTAGGGTTTAGGGTTTGGGGTTTGGGGTTTGGGGTTTGGAGTTTGGGGTTTGGGGTTTGGGGTTTGGGGTTTGGGGTTTGGGTTTAGAATTTCGGGTTTAGGGTTTAGGGTTTGAGGTTGGTTTCAGGGCTTATAGGGGCTGGGTTCAGGGCTCAGCGAACACCAGCTTTATGGCGTTGAGGGTGAAGGGCTCTGCAGGGGCTTACGCACCACCACACCCTAAACCCTAAACCCTAAACCCTAAACCCGAAACCCGAAACCCGAAACCCTCAATCGTAAACCCTAACCCTAAATAAAGAGTTAAGGTCCGCGCCTCGGGCGAGAAAGCTAAGGGGAGGCCTTGTAAGAGTCAATCAACGCTTCGGGAGTCGGACAGGTTTGCGAACTGAGCTGGGTTACTACAAAACCCTGTCAGCCGGATCCTTTATTGATAGAAGTATATTATAGGGCTCAGGCTTTACCCTGAGCCCTAAGCCCTAAACCCCAAACCCCAAACCCTAAACCCAGCGAATCACAAGCCCCCGGCTTGAACGTCGAGCGTAGAGCTTCCGCACCCAACGTTGGGAAACTCAAACTTGCTTGGGGTTAGGGGTTACTAAGTTTAAGGTTAATGGTTTAGGGTTTTGGGTTGCATTCAATTGTGTGGGTCTAGACTACGGAATACACAAAGAAGGAGATGGCGTGCTTTCGAAATTCTGGCCAGTGGGAGGACCATAACATTGGAACCCTAAAGCCTAAACCCGAGATTGGAACCCTACACCCTCAACCCCCAAAACCCTAAACCCAACAATTAGAACCCTAAACTCCTAAACTCCAACCACAAACCCTGAATCCTGAACCCAAAACCCTAATCCCAAACCCTGAAACCCTATACCCCACTCGCTCAACCCCCCAACCTTAAACCCTAAACCCTAAACCCTAAGCGGGGCCTGCGGAAGCGAGCCAGCCCGGGAGGCCCCTCTGCAAGCTCGGCGAGCGGGACCCAGGGAACGCGCAAGGGCTCTGGCACCTGCCATGAAAGGTTTGGGGGTTGTAGGTTAAGGGTTTAGGAGTGGAGGGGAATTAGGGTTTAGGGGTTTAACTTACAGCTTAGGGGCTTGGGGTTTTGGGGTTTAGGGGTTTAGGTTTTGGGGGTTGGAGATTTAGGGTTTGGGAGTTTCGGGGATTGGGGCTGAGGCCCCCTAAACCCTAAACCCTAAACCCTAAACCTCAAACCCTAGACCCTAAACCCTAAACCCTAAACCCTAAATCCTAAACCCTAAACCCTTAACCCCAAACAAGGGGACTCATGGTTCACGTGCTCGCGGGCCTGTTTCCACGGCTGGGCTCGGTCGGGCCAGAAGCGCACCTTTGCTCTCGGATATCAGGGGGGAGGGGTTTGGGTTTAGGGTTTCGGGTTTAGGGTTTAGGGTTTAGGGTTTAGGGTTTAGGGTTTAGGGTTTAGGGTACAGGGTACAGGGTTTAGGTTTAGGGTTTAGGGCTTAGGGTTTAGGTTTTAGGGTTTAGGGCAGCTAGGGGGGGGTGGGCTAAGGAGCCTGAAAAATTGGGATTTGGGCTTCGGCTTAAGGGAACTATCTAACACAACCCAAACCCGTGAGTTTCGATGAGATTAGAGGCTTAGGTTAGGCGAGTCTTATGCCTCCCATTTTTTCGCAATGCAAAGATGCAGGTCAGTTTCATTTTGTTTGGCTGCAAGTCACGTGAAGATGCTCTTTGTAGCCCAGTAACCATAATTTAATGACAGCACCTTCTTTTTTGTTTTGGCTACTTTATGAGGGAACCCAGAACCAACAAAAAAGGGTAAATGGTACCATTGGGCTACCAAGTGTTGGTATGCATATCCTAGATGGAACATTGCACAGGGTACAAAGCGATTTTGCCTAAGTCCGCACTTTCACTATGCATGGAGCCGAAGCCCTTCATACCACTTAATACCGCAACCACTTCGAAGCTCCGCACAAAAGCCTCAACTTCGCCCCTTCTGCTTTCGGCCGGTTGACCATGAACTAGGAAGCAAAGAACCGAATAAGCTTTAGACCGCCGAGCTCCAAAGCTTTCGCCCTAAACTCAAAACCCTAAGCCCCTTAAACCCACACCCAAGGCCTTAAACCCTACAACCCTGGCTTTCTTGTCTTTGCATCGGCCGGGCACCCGCATGCATCCCTCCGCGAGGTTGAAATGTGCTCGAAGTGAGTGCCTCTCTACCTGCTTGGATCTAGAGCTTTGGGTGGATAGGGGCCCCATGGCTGAAGTAAAGGTTCCGGGTTTAGGGCTGCAATTCATGTTTTGGGATGTTGTAGGGTCTGGGGGCTTAAGAGCTCAAACTTCCCTCAGGGGGGGATTCATGAGGTTTGCGCTCTATAGGGTCAGGGTTTTGGGTTCAGGGTTCGGGACTTGGGATTGGGGTCCCGGGCTTTGGGTTCAGGATTTGGGTTTAGGTCCATGGCTTGGAGCTTGCCGTCAGGAATGCCCACCCTGTCGTTTTCGGCGCCAGCGGCGAAAGCATGCGATCTCCGCTGATGGGGACCCTCAGAAAACTGCGACGGGTGATGGGTTTGCGATCCTGTGCAGCTCGGGGATGAAAGCTTGAGGTCTCTGGGGGGTTCAGACATTCAGAAGTTAATGAGAGGGAACTCGGGGAACCCATCACTACAACTGGATGGCAACACTGGACACGCACACTCTGCTTGTGTTCCGTAGTGAAGCCCCGTTGGGAGCGCCAAAATTGGTTGACTGTACATATCCAAGCCTCTTAACCACAAGAACTGGGGGATCGATTCGAAGTTTTGGGGGCTGACAACTTTGCAAGCCAAGAAATGCATCCAGGCTGATTCGAACCTTAGTTCATGTAGTTGGGAGGTTTTGCATAGGTCGGAGCTGGTGCTCAGCAAACGCCCTGCAGGGCAAGGTCTAGGCAGTGCTGCAGGCACTGTTCATTGTAGCCCGGTCCCCCTCCTTCGCGGCACAACCCCACGCAGCCTCGGACGTCGTCTCCTGGGCAGGCTTCGGCGTGGTCTCCAAATCGCATGAGCAAAGAAGCAGAAGCAGCAAGCATCACGGAGCTGCCGATGACGTCTTGGAACGCTGTTTCGAAGGGTCCTCCAAGCGCAGCTGGATCCCAGCCCCAACGGTTGAAGAGCAGCGGAGCCAGGGTGGCTGTAAAACTTGCGGAGATGATGGATGCATACTGTCCCAGGAAGATCGCCATGCCAAAAACAAAGGAGCCTTTGACACTGTGATCGTCCGCAAATGGGCTGTACCAAGCCCATGCAACGCCCGCAACGACGAAGCTAAGCATGGCGGCAACCGCCAATCCCGCTCCCAGCTCATGCTGCATTCCGTGCCCCATCCGACGACCGTGGAAGAGGCCCAGGGGCAAACCTCGCGTGATGGTAGCCATCGTCTGGAGTCCTACGTTCCCCGAAAGGGCCGAGATGACTGGCTGGAAGGCGATGAGAAGGGTGTACTTCTTGAAGGTGTCCTTTGAAAGGTGCTAGCGGGGTTTCTGCAAAAGGAAGGTTTCGAAACGCTTGGTCTACCGTGCAAAAGATGTGTGTGTGTGTGTCTCATACTACGTTTGCTCTTTCCATCCCTCTTTTCTACAGAAAACTAGCAAGGTTTTGAGACTAATGGTCCGCATACTTCGTGACAATGAGGGCCACGAACATCTCGATCATAAGCGTGACAATGAGGGCCGGCATTCGCAGTAGAGCCCGTCTCCACAGCGGCTTCATGTGAAAGGCTCTTGCCTGTTCGTCAGCCTCGGCGTCACCTCTGAGGCCACGAGCCATGTTCTGTGCAGAGCCCACCTCAGGGGCCGCACCACTCAGCGAAAGCCGACCCCTATAAGCACGTGTTTCAACAAGTCCGGCAAGGTTTGGTTTTTAGTCTTACTTCTGTGTGTGTGTGTGTGTGTGTTTTACATGTCAGACTGAATGGCCAAGTCATGAACTCGAGCTGATCGTTTAAGACGCGGAGTCACACTAATCACAAAAATTAAAGCAGAAACTAGTGGCAACCTCAGAGGGCTGTGACATGATGCTGACATCGTTCACCGTGCGGTCGCTGACTCGCAGTGCAAAAAAAAAGAGCCACTCAAACGCCTCCATAGTAGTCCTTGCAAGGAAGCTCAACTGCGCAGCCGAAGGGAAAGCACGCGAGCTTTGAGCAAAAAATGTTGCATTGCAGCGTGGCGGAACTTGGGACAAGTGTTAAGGGTCTCGAGTCAAGCCGCACATAATTGTACGTGACCACCTACTGATATTATGGCAGATCTTCATGTTTTCAAACGAACCCCATATATTGCAAAAGGTTTTGTCATAAATTGTTCGCCTCGGCCTTGGCCGAGAGGTGCTCAGAGCCTCCTTATATTCGCCTCCGAAGGTAGTCCTTGCTCACCCGCCCCCCCTCCTCCAGCTTAAAGTCTTCCTCTGCCCCTGGTCAATTCCACGGTGACATGCACGGTTGAATCCGCCGAGGCCTCGGGCCGTAGGTGAGTAGCATAAAGCAGGTACCCCACCCCTCCTTATTCTAGACCCGGGAGAGGAAGAAAAAGGGTACCCTTCTTGGTTTTAAGGGGACTATAAAGGGAACACCAACCCTAAAAAAGGGAAAAAGGGGGCCCCACTCCCGGTCCTAGTATTTGTTTGGAATGTGTACCCCCCCCCCCCCAAATGATCTGCAGAGGCTTAGACTTATCAAAGAACTCGAACATCTCGAATTAGCAGCTTACTATTTTGGAGAAGCGATGATTTACAAGGAAAGATGTATGAGGGGCTTAGGAGGCCGTAGGCCCTGGTTCCTTGCCACCTACCTAGCAAGCAAGCCTCTAACGCCGGGACAGAGCTTTTTCTATCTTTTCAACGAACATCTGACAGCTCTGTGATTCTTGCGCTTTGTGTTGACTAGGGGTACCTGTGTACGGAACTGACAGCTAACCCCGAACATCCCCGAGCCACCAATGTGCGCTGGGAAAGCAGAAGGTCGAAACTTTGGCGGAAGGAAAAGGTAGGCAATGCTATCAATTGTCTAAGACCCCAATTGGTTGAAACAAACCTTCCTTATAAGGGTGATGTAGGGACTACTACGTTCTATTCTTTTGGGGTTCTTAAGCAAATAGTAGAATGGCAATGGCGCTGTGCCTCACAGCTGGCCTTGCTGCTTTTCTCCGAAACAATCTAGTCATCATAGCGGTCCGGCTGCGCTGCCACGAGCCTCTCTGTCGATGTGCCCGAAAAGCTGACAAAAAGGTTCCAAAACTCCCTTGTGGGACGACGGAGAGGAAGTGAAACGCTCGACTCACTCGACCCGGCGCTAGAGGACGATGGATCCGATGTTTCCGGGTCACCCTGTGTGAGATAGCCGTACAGCGGCATCCAAAAAGTCTCAACACCGGCGTCCGAGGGATCGAACACCACGCGGTACACCTCCGTTTGCTTGCTGAAGGAGGAAACTTTTGTCAGTTTGGTGACTCGGGTGCCAAAAATGACCTTGCTTCCCTTGACCAGGTTGCCTGCCTGGCACTCTGTCAACTTCTCAGGCGCGCTGGTCTGAAGCTCTGCCAAATTAGTGCCCACTGGCACATCATCAGAAACGAGCACGACGCGATGCTGTGCAGTGAGGATTAGCTCGCTATCGCGATATGCAACCGACAATTGCACCAGTCTCTGATTCCCGTAAGCACTGCGGCGCACAGATTTCACACGCACAATGTGTTCAGAGGGCAATAGTATAGGGTCTCCTTCCTGCAAGAATTTCACTGACTTGAGCTCACCCGCAGGCGAGAGGAAGCAGGTCTGTGGCAGGTAGCACGGGCACACGTTGCCTTGGACAGGTTGCTTCTCGTTTGAAACAAACATGTGTAAGCGTTCATGGAAGACCTGCTTGTACATATCTGGGGGCAACGTGGTGAGAGCCAGTCCGCAGACCATCCTCTGCATGCGATACCCAACCAGGTGCCTCGTGCTGAAAGGCTGCAAGTAATCCACGATACGAATGATCGCTGCTGGACGCTCAGACTGAGACGCCGAAGACTGCCTGGGCCTCGCCACACACATTTGATAGCCAGTGGCGTTGTGCTCGCATAGAAAGTCGAGGGTTCTTTTGAGAGCATCGTATTCAATCAAGGTGTGCCAGCGGTCTTGCGGCAGCCAAGCTGCAATTGCAGTCTTGAAATCGAAGAGCTGCTGCTCCGAAATCGAGCTGCCACTGACCTGCGCAGCCAAACTTGCGACAAAAGGAAGCAATGTACTCACAACAAAAACACAAGGGGACGGGAAGAAACACAGAACACAAATCATAACTCTCAACTAGAAAACCCATAAGATGCGAAATAGTGCCCGTACAATCATCAAAGGACCATGACGCCATCGCCCTCGAAAGCCAACTTCTCCCGCATGATCACGGAATAGCAGGGCCCGGCGTGTAGCCTGATCTTGAACCCGCCGAATATTCTGCAAAGCAAATGGCTTTGTGTGGCCATCACAAAGTCATAATATCCCGTTTTCTCCTGACCGCCGGCTACGATCTTGGAACCAAGGATCTGTTGCAAATAATCCGCCGCTGCCTCTCCGGGTTCAATAACGACCTCCATGTTGCGCAGCGGCACGACTACAGGATCTTTCCCCCCAAAACTAGAAGGGATCTCAAAGCCGCAAGTCGCTTGTTGCATGTGTGGGTATTGAAAGGACCAGTGTCTGCGAAGGCTCTGAAACTTCCAAGGCTCAATGATATACAGGTCCGCCATGAGTTGGGAGTGGGGTTCTGGCTCGCACTCCAAGTCTGCACTCAACCCTTCCATCTCTCTGTTCAGTTCGACTTGTAGGTACCCCTGCAAAGCAAAATGCACTGAGTCCTTATAGCATAGGTCAAGAGCAACTGTGACTGGAAGGCCTCTATGACTTGTGGAGACGTCTGTGGCCGCGCGCAAGCAGCGCATCTGACAAAGGCGATACAATGACACTGCCCAGCCCTCCGCGCCAAACAAGGTGACAGCAGCCAGAGTGCGACTCCAGGTTGATGGGTCGTCAGGTATTCTTCTATCTTCATTGGCTGTGATAAGAAGAGGGATCACTGTAAACACAACCACAAGAAGCGGGTATGCTAAGTAGAACGAAACGGCTTTGGCCAACTCTTCTTCTCGGCAAGTCAGATTGCGGCCATTGACGGGCTGGCCATGCGGAAGGCATGCCTGGTTGGACCGGCGCACTCTCGCAAGTGTTGTTGCCATCGCCCAGAGAGAGGCGATGAGTGAAAGTATCTCTGCTCCTGGGCCAAGGTACCCGTAGCTCCGAAGGACAACGTGCAGTTCATAATAGCCTCCTTTGTCATATGAAAAGCCTATGCCACTAGGCGAATGCAGTGAGACGATTAGGACCAGAAGTGCTGCCAGGAGTATTACCAGCACGTGGACAATGTCATGCCTGGGCCGAATGGTTAGCTTGCTCGAGCTAAATTTGATGGCCAAAAACCAGTTGAAACACATGCTCCACAGTCTTGTCGCCATCCAAAAAAAGGTCGCTGCAACAGACAGGACCGGGTAATACCCTGGGCGTGGCGCCACCAAGAAACCTACGACGACCAAGAAGGCGCAGAAGCTTGCACCAGCCGCGTATGCTGCAGTCCAGTAAATCAGGAATCCTGGGTTAGTTCGTCTGCTGCCAGTACGTCTCGACTCCCAGACCAAAAGAAGGCATGACGTGATGTTCAGCATCAGCACGATCAGCGTCCAGCATGCAAGCTTCTTGGAGAAAAACATTTGCAACTGTATACTATACACTCGCACTACCTTGAAGCCCGAAAGCTGCTGAAAGCCAAACTCGCGCCAGCGCCTGCAACTGTGAGCGTAGAAGCTTTGCCAGCTTGAACGAATACCCGTTCATTCAGCCTTCATGGGGATCGGACTCTAACCTCAAAGACTTAGCATTCACGATCTATAGGTAGGCCTCCAAGTGTAAGGTCCACAGGCCAAAAACTCAGGCTTTTGGTCTGATTTTGTGATCAACGATGCTGCGTCTGATCGCAAATGCCGCACTCTGCACTTGCCCGGTCAATGAATGAAAGCCGTTGGTCGTACGTCTATCTAGTGAAATATCATCTGCGCCCCGAACCTTTGGGACCAACCTGCCCCCGCAGGGTCCTTGTTCTGTAGAGCTTGAAGCCATGTCTGCTTTGGGGCTTGGGACTTCGGTCTGTCTGGGTTTGGGGATTCTTAAGCTTCGTATTTCACGGGCACGATATCTTGTACGCCATCTTCACTAATTATAGCCCTACCGGTGGGCCCAGCTTTCTACACATACATGCCATGCCTAAATGTTAAAACGGCATCTTTACGTACAATCGTGCGCACAACACTTAAGTGCCTCCTGCATACATGCATACTGTACGTGCATGCATGCATACATGCGCGAACGCAACGATTTATAACCATACATGTACATGGCTTTGCACACAATGTATTCATCCGGGCACTACTGGTCATGTCCAGTGTGGCCTCTTTGCTCGTCACCACTTGGCTCCACACGTCCCAACCTCTGCGGCACGGACACGCGGCAGTATAACAACACACAAAGTGTTGACCTTATGATGCGCAGACCTATGATTTATATATAAAACAGCGCCGACATAGGAGGACTTCTTTGGTACGACTCAAGCTAGGAGGATGAACCTAACGATGTTTGCTCGTCATTGCTTCCGTTCATGGCTTAGGATGTCTGGTTGTTTATGGTTAAGATACACTACATGGGGGGTTTCAGACATGCGGGCCACCTTATTGCTAGGGGGTCCCATATTTTCGTAAACCCCCACATTAAGAGGAACTACATTGCAGTCTGAACAGCAAGCGTCAGCAGAGAGCCTGGTTAGACCTTGCCTCAAGGCGAAGGACGGGTTTAGAGTTTGCAACTTGGCGCGAAATTCGAAACATTCCTAGGTCTGATAACCCTCATACGTAGAGTACACGTCATGTAAGATACACAAAGGGATCACGTAATGAAGAAGTGACCGTATGGCCTCTTGGGCTGGTAGCTATATGATGCCACGTGGGTTCTAAATCAGGGTCCCCTGTTAGGCACAAGTCAATGTAGGAGCATTTCCTTAAACGGCAAACCTGAACCGTAAACACAAAAATCGCCACGACAAGGTCTGGATCCAATGAGGGTTTAGCGTGTTTGGCTTCACCGAAAACCCTGAAATTCCACAGGTTAGAGTTACCTTGAGTTAGGGTTAATAGGGAATAGGGTTTTTGGATTAGGGCAGGGTCTAGGGTCTAGAGCCTAGGGTCTAGGGTTCAGGGTTAGGGTTTAAGGCTTGCAGCAGGAAGGCTCAATGCTGCCACCAGCAGGGCCGCGCTTACCAAGGCTGCGAGGGAGGTCGCTGCCTGCAGCGCCTCAACACGAGGAGTTCGGGTAGTTTTGGGTACAGTTTTCGGTCTAGGGTTTAGGGTTTAGGGTTTAGGGTTTAGGGTTTAGGGTTTAGGGTTAGGCCTTTAGCTCATGAAACAAGGGTGTCTAACTCATGTGTTCTTGGGTCTATCAGGCATCCTCCGGCAGTGCGTTTTTTCTAAAGTAAAGGGCTACTCTAGGGAGAGCGCAGTCTCGCAGACAGTCTCCAGCAAAACCCACCAAGTTTGACGTGGGGCTTCAGGTTTAGGAGAAAGGGTTTAGGGTTTAGGGTTTAGGGTTTAGGGTTTAGGTTAGTGCCCGCAGCATCCTTGAAGGACCTGGGATGTAATATATCAGGAGCTGGAACAGGCGAAGCTGCATGGCCAACTGCTCCAAGACTCTACCCTGCTGTATTGCTGTAGCCCCCCCCAACCCTCAACTTTTAGTAGCTGGCTCCCCCGACCCAGCAATAAAAAGTCAAACAGCAGGTAAGTCGAGTGCCACCATTCAATACTATGATTGTAATCGCGCACAAGTTTGTATTATCATAAGACTATTAAAATGGGCAGTCGTCCTAAACCCTAAACCCTAAACCCTAAACCCTAAACCATAAACCCTAAACCCTGCTCCCTTCCGTGCCTCAGTCGAACCTCTAACCGATGGCGCAGGCCCCGTAGCCATCATCGGCGGGGGATAGATGAACGCCCTCAAGCAAGTTGGCCCTTGAACACCAACAAGAGATACTCAAATGTTCCCAGAATTGTGCTTCTTAAACCAAACAAAGGATGCTTGACTAGTCCTAAACATATCCGGTAGACCTGGTAAAAGAACACTACAAACTGTCAAAGGTTCCACCTACGGCCTGCACCCGATAAACCAGAATCAAACCCGCCGAAAGGGAAAGATATTACTGCTACACTTCTAAAGGCAGGCGATAACCATTGAGCTGGGTTGAGCCGCGAGCAGGTAGTCAAACGCTTGTGACGTCTTGGGGGGATGAGGGGGTCAGGGACTTAAGGCATCTTCACAAAAATCACGGATCCTCGTGATAGTTTCAGAATCGTGTCTGAGACTCATGCATCTAACTGCCAGGGATCCAAGGTTTACAACTGAATTCGAAACATCCATCGCAGCAGGATACTTTCCGTGTTGACTGTCGTACCACAGCCGTCTTCATCCACTACTCCCCCATGAAACTTTTCATTTCTTGATCTAGAGTCTAGGTCATTCCGACATCCAGGAAGCATTTGAATCTGAGCACAGGGGACAGGTACCCAGAAGCAACAGATGTCGACAGAAAAACCCTACAGGGGTCATGAGGGCCATGATCTGTGGGGTCCATCATGAGGACGCTAGCTTTAGGGCTGCGTGAATTTTGCGGCTCTCGGGTTTAAACTTGACAATTCACTGCATGCTCGTGCCAGAACAGCGTCCAGTCAGCTGGGTACTGAGGTGTAGGTGTAGGGTTTGGCGGTTAGAATAGCGTTAAGGGTGTAAGGGTTAAGGATTGCGGGGTTAGGGTCTAGGGGAAACCTTGTCAATCTAGAAAGATGACAGGAGAAGTTGTAGACGGCCTAGCAGCAACCATGATAAAACCTAAAAGCCTCAACCCTGACCCCCCTGAGCCTAAACCCCTAAAACCCTAGATCCTAAACCCTAGATCCTAAACCCTAATTCCTAAACCCTAAATCCTCAACCCTTACCCAAAGCATGTGGTTCGAGGGGTTCCGCTCGCCTCGGCGCCACAGCATGCGAGGAAGATCTGAAGGTAGGACGGGTCGAACCCCCTGGCAGTGTGTTGCAATATGGGTATTCTATGATTCTTCTTGTACGATTAGATTCTTCATCTGTTGTCATTTTATCATTTATATGACTAGGGTATGATGATTCTTGTCTGATATTGTAGCTTCCGGCACGACTAATTACTTCGCAACGCCGGCCCCCTGTGCGACGTAGCCAATTGTCTGCAATGTAAATGTACACCCGGGATAGAGCCCTGACATCCCCCCCGCCCCCAAGACACAACCTCGCTGCGCGCATAGTCCGGACAGTGGCGTTCAGCGCCGCCGCCGAATCACCAGCTGCCAAGAGAAGCACGGGCACGTGCCCGAGGGGGGCCTGATCGAGGGTATTAGTTTCAATGCGCTTCCCTTAGTTCTTGCGCGCTTGTTTCTGGGTCTTGTGGTGAGCCTTTTAAAGTCACAAGCACCACACCCTCATCCTGGTCTTCTGGGACGAAACCCAAGAGAAACCTAGGAATAACAAGGGTGCCTTTCTTGGCCTACAGGGGCTCACAAGGGAACCTAAACCCTAAAAAATACGGGAATAAGGGCCGACTCCGGGTCCTGGATGGAGGTTACTCTCCCTCAGTTCACAAGGACCACCTTCTGTGACAAGCCCCCGTTCAAAGGCCGCTGGGTTCAGAGCTACCTTAAGAACGAAATACAACTCGCAGACACTACAGACCCTAAACCCTAAACCCTAAACCCTAAACCCTAAACCCTAAACCCTGGATCAAAGTGCCCGCATGAATGATTTGGGGCAAAAAGGGGCCGCCATGGATCGGGTGGAACTCCGGACTCGTCCTCCTCCCCCCAAAAACAAGCAGCAGCCCAAGGCTCTAGTAGACACCGTGCCCAGAACCCTGCACTCGATTATGAAGGGTTTAGGGTTTAGGGTTTGGGGTTTAGGGTTTAGGGTTTAGGGTAAGGTTGCAGGGTTTAGGGTCCCGGGGCTGTAGGGTTTATTGAGGGTTCGCGGCTTCAGGGTGTGGGGTTTTCGGGTTGTAGGTTCGGGGGCCTGGGACGAACCCGGAACCCAAAAAAAAACCTAAAGGGACCAACAATGCCAAAAACAACCCTTTGAACAAGAAAAAACAACGGGGGGTTAAAAAAAAACAAGCCCCCAGGATTTATTGAAAAGCTGCCAAAACCGCAACAGAAACCTGACACACACAACAAGCGAAATCAAACCCCAAACCCTAAAACCCTAAAACACTCCGTGCCTGCGTCCCCGCGCTGAGGACGCCGAAGGCCCTGAGCCCCTGCGCGTGCATCGCCTTTGAAAGAGGGGCCCAGAGTGAGGGTTTAGGGTTTTAGGGTTTTAGGGTTTAGGGTTTAAGGTTTAGGGTTTAGGGTTCAGGGTTCAGGGTTCAGGGTTTCTTGTTACGCGTTCAGGCCTGCTGGGTTCTAGGGCATTCTAGGGCTTAGGGCCTGATTGACAATGCTTTGGGTTTGGGGTTCAGAGATTGAGTGCGGATGTCGGGTTTAGGAGTTGGTTGGATTCGCGAAGCCCTCATGAAGCCTTGACCACTCAAGCCCCTCCCCCGCTCGCGAAAAAAGTTGGGCAGCGTCTTTCACTGCAGCAACCCTGCCAACCATCACCAAAACAAGGTCCAGGTTAGCCCTAAACCCTAGACCCTAAACCAGGTCAGCAATCGGGAAATCAGTTTACCTATTCCTGAACACCGGTTCCAGGTCTCTGCGGTTCAACCCGAAACCCCAAATCCTCCCCCAAAGGTTTTGACGCCAAACGCGGCCATCACGGAGACCAACCCATGTAGGAAGGCTTAGCTAGGTGTTGTTTGGGTCTTTTCGTGAAGGGAAGTCACGCTCGTGTAGTCCCAACCCTAAACCCTAAACCCTAAACCCTAAACCCTAAACCCTAAACGGGTGGTAAAGGATCCCTCAACCAAGAGCTAGAACAAGCCCGAATGCCCTGGTAGGTTTAGGGTTTCACGATCCACGCGCAGATTGATCAAAATTATGTTTCTGGGTACCCTAAATACAATGGCCCGGGTATAACTCTATCAGCCATAGGCACCCTAAAAGCGCTGGGAGCTCCAAAAAAGTCGATAAGCCTCATCAATCCTACAAACCCTAGTGAAAGCAACTTGCTTTAAACCCTAAACCCTAAAACCCCAAACCCTGAACCCTGTAACCCTAAAAACCCTAAACCCGAAACCCCCATAAGAAGATGGGCCTCTTTGCGGAGACCAGGCCGCCACCCAGCAGCCTACAAGGGTTTAGGGGTTTAGGGTTTGGGGTGTAGGTTTAGGGCTTCGGGATTAATTGGGGAGTTCCCGAAGATCGATCTTCGCAGGGTGGGGGGGGGGGGGGGGCTTTAGTGGGTTGTACGATTGCAGGGTTTGGGGCTTGGATGCTTTCAGGCGCTGGGCTGTAGAGGTTGCAAGGGTTATAGGTTTTCGGGGTTACGGGGTTTCAGGGCTTGGGGCTGTGGGCTGTTATTTACTTAGGGCTTTAGGGTCTTGCGGCTTGTAGGGTGAAGGGTTGCAGAGATTCCTAAACCCTAAACCCTAAACCCAAAACCCAAAACCCAAAACCCTAAACCCTAAACAGTTGTATCTCTGAGTCTGGACACCGATAGCATCCGATAGCAGCCATAGGCCGTGGACACCAACATAACTCTGTACCCTTCACCCTAAACCCGAACCTCTAAACCCTAAACCCCTAACCTTTAAGCCCTAAACCCTAAACCCTAAACCCCTAAACTTTAAGCCAAAACCCTAAACCCTAAACCCCTAAACTTTAACCCAAAACCCTTAAATAATGTCGCTTCGCCCTTCCCACCCCCTGCCCCCCCTGCCAGGCCTCAGCAGTTGCTTCCTGAGGGCGAAAGCACTCTGAGGATTCCGCTGTCACAATCGGCATATATCCGTTGGCTCAACGGGGTTAGGGTTTAGGATTTAGGGTTTAGGGTTTAGGGTTTCGGGTGAAGGCAGGAAAAAAAAAGCAGCCCTCATGAAGTTGGGAACCCAGCTAAGGGACAGCCCTGCATGGCATGGAAACTCCAGGATCTTCAGCAAAAGCCCACGAAGCCATGGACTCCACCTGCGACTTTGTTAAACAAAGTCCGAAACCGAAAAGCATCGGAGAGCGATCCACGTCCATAAGGCTGCTGGAGACTCTAGATGCCAAGAAAGCGAAACGCTGCCAAAGACCCAAAAACCCCCCGAAGCCAAGGCGAAGAGCCTAAATTCCACAAGCCATAATTAAACCCTATAGTTGGGATCTTCCCCCTTATTACTAGCAGTCCTGAACAGGGATTCTACTAGGGGGTGCTGTAATCCCCCATTAAGGGCTGTTAGCCGAAGGGGGGCACACCCCAACCCTGGAGCCCTAAGCCCTAACATCCTAACACCCATGAAGCACTAAAGCTGCAGAGCCCTTAGCCCTGCAAACCATTCCCCAACTCCCCAGACAAAGACTCCGAACCATGAACTTACCCTTGGTTGCCTTGGTTATAATAGTCATAAGTTTGATAATAGTTGTAATAGTTATAATAGTTATAATAGATCTAATAGTTATAATAGTGATAATTGTGATAATAGTTATAATAGTTATAATAGTTATAATAGTTATAATAGTTATAATAGTTATAATAGTTATAATAGTTATAATAGTTATAATAGTCATAATAGTTACAATGGTTATACTAGTTATAGTAGTTATACTGGTGGTAATAGTTGCATTAGTAATATTAGATATACTAGTTATAATAGGGCATGACCATAGTACAATCATCATAATGAGAAGGCCAAGGTTAAGTAACCCTGAGCCCAGTGTCGGCGCGCTCCAGGGCGGCGGGCTTCACAGTGACTGCCTGCATGTCTGATAGAGTTAGGGTTTAGGGGTTTAGTGGATCAAGGGGGCTTAGGGGGTTTAGGGGGTTTGGGGGGTTTAGGGGGATTAGGGGGTTTGGGGGGTTTACGGGGGTTTAGGAGGCTTAGGGGGCTTGGGGGTGTTCAGGGTGTTTAGGGGGGGGGGGGGGGGGTTCGGGTGTTTAGGGTTCAGGGAATCCTGGCGGACTTGTCTTGTTGCTGCTGCGTGCTGGATGAGCGCACACCTACCAGGGAGCCTCAGTCCAACAGCTTGCAAACATGCCCTGGTCATTGGCCGACCCTCCCGCATGTCTGAGCAAGACATGAGGTGATATCTAAACACACATATGTATATACATGTGTCTGTATATATATATATATGTTTATGTATGTCACATATGTTCTAGATGTGTACGTATATGCGTTCACGTGTATGTATATGTACACGCCGAGGTATTTGTATATGCATCTATGCATTATAAATATGTTTCTCTTGCACCAAAAAATGGGAAACTTGTATGTCCCTAAGGCCAGAAACTGCTAAACCCCAAACCCCAAACCCCAAACCCCAAACCCCAAAGACCAAAACCCCAAACCCCAAACAAACCCTGACCCTAAACCCTATGCCCTAAACACCGAAGATCGCATCCCGGGAGCCGACCTCGCCGGCCTTGGGCAGCAAAGCGTCGACGGCCACCAGCTCCTGGGAGGCGACCTCGGTGATCATCTCGTGATTCGAAGCTTCCATATTCAAGCTGTATATGTAATACATATAAAAACAGATATTTTCTAAACATGTATGTATATATGCATATATATATATATATATATGCACATGTACACACATACCAAAGTGGGTGGCAGAGAAAGATAGGACAAACACACGGCGAAACAACTTATTTTCTCCATGTGTTCTGTTTCGGGGGCTTGGGGAGCGGGTTAGGGGTGGGTGGTCGAATGGTTGAGGACTGTCAGGTTTACGGGCCGGGCCAGTACGCGTTAGAGCCCAGGTTTGTTTTTTACATCTGCATAACATGTTCTAAGCAGGCCTGGGTGAATTGCGGGACGTGAGGCAAAACCACGTGTAGGATTCAGAGGCCTAGGTTTCAGGTGTCGGTGACGTTCTGCTTGAAAGTTTGGGGTTTAGGGTGTAGGGTGCTATCTGCTGAGACTGCTGCCGACAGAGGGTCACGACACACGCAGAGGCGCTGCTTATCTGCATCGGCCTTGTGTCGTCGATTAGGGGGCTTAGGCTTTGAGGTCAACCCCGGGGGTTTAGGGTTTAGGGTTTCGGGTTCAGAGTTTCGGGTTTAGGGTTTAGGGTCTAAAGGCCCTAAAAGCTAAAGCCTCCACCGTGCTTCGGGTTTTGAGGGTTTCGGGTAGGGACATAATAGGGCTTAATCAGATGTTTGCAGGGCTTGCAAGGTTTGTTGGCCACTTCACATGAGCCGAGCCCTGCTTTTTCAACTGCACCACCTTCCCCATCACTACCTAACAGCATGGAACTACAGCGAAGATCCTTCGGACCATGGTCTGCCAGGTGGACCCTAAACCCTAAACCCTAAACCCTAAACGATGCTGAGTCCCCTGCATTGCCTTGAAGGATTAGGGTGAAGGGTCTCTAGGGCCTACTATAGGGGCCTGAATAATTAGAATAGGCTTTTTGGGCAGTTATAGTAAAATCACAAGGGGACCAGAAGGGAATACTATTATATTAGTAATTATTCCGAACTCTTTTCAGGATTATGGGGGGGGGACTAAGCAGAAACGCAAGTGTCGCTTGGCGCAGGGCAACATCGCACGAGGGCGGATGTTGCAGCACATCCTGGCGCTGGCCGAAGACATATGGCTGCAGCTTCGTCTTGAGAACTTCAGGGCATAAGCGACTGACGCAAAAAACTGGCGCCCAAACCAAAATCAACGAACCTCCATGCTTAAGCAGGGGGGGCGCAAAACTTGAGTTTAAGGTGAAGTTCTCAGGAATTTAGGCAAGTTTAAGCTTCATTCCCCACACCCAATGCAGCACATTCCCACCCTCTAGCCATACAAGTCCTCCACCCTAACCAAGTCCCGAACGTTCACCCCTGAAGCCTAAACTCGCCCTGAACCCCAGGGTTGCTTTGGGGTGTAGGGTATAGGTTTAGGGTTGGGCTCGGGGTTTGAGATTTAACAGTGTTAAAAAAAAAAAAAAAACGCAACCACCCACCCTTGGGCACACCGAGTTTGACATGCAGGCGGATCCAGAGCCTTTCCGCCCCTGAGTTGCAAGAGGGATTAGGATGTTTCTAGGGTTTAGGGTTTAGGGGTTTAGGGTTTAGGGCTGCTGCAAGGAACGTTGTGTTCGGATCTCACGGTTCAGGATTAAGGGTTTGCACCATCAAGGCAGTGCGGAATCTGGCACTGTTCCATTTTGGCTTTGTTTCAGTTGACCAGGAACACCTAGTATTCTACCATCCCAGAAGGAGATGCCTCTACAATGTAAAGCGCTCCTTTGTAGCAAGCCCTATACAAAACAAACTGCGTGGTGCGCGGCACGCTCCCGCACCAGCAGGTTAGGTAGACTGCTGGAGACGCGACCCAATAACCCAAAACCCTAAACCCTCTAACCCAAAGCATGCCTGGGGACTGCCCTGGAGCTAGGCCGGTCGTCGCGCCCCCTCTATCCACACATCATCTCTTCAAACAACTAGAGAAACGTCTCCTTTCGTGGGGGGTCCTAAACACAAAGACATGCCACGGTGCAGTGTAGAACACCTACTACTGCTACAAGAACGTTCATGTGTGCTTGGAAGCGTAGTGAGTAATGAGGAGAACAGCAGTGTTTTCTTCTGCACGAGGCACATTGCCTGGATGCCAGGCAGCCAAGAACGCCGGATAACCATGGATTGCAGGCCATTGAGATGCCCATGCCACGATCACTGAAGAGTCTGTACAATTGTATGCATGCAATTCAGATGCATATGTGTATTGCGGAAGGATCTGGATGTCTGAAGGCTTGCAAAGCTGTACAGTGACCTTGCGCTGCAGGGATTAGGTGCACTTGTTCGCATTTGTTGCTTGGCACGAACGCGGGATTAGGCTGCAAGGTCGGCAAGATGATTTCCAGTCCTTTCAAAACCTGTACTAAAAGCGCCGTAACAACATAATTCAACCGCGCATTCAGCAGAGGGACTCTGCAGCAGGTGTGAGCACAATGGTCTGTTCTGGCTCTGGGGCTGGTAGGTAAGCCCTTTCCTCATCCAAGATCACACGCATCCGTGCAACTTCCGACTTCTGGTGGAAAACCCTCACACCTCCATCATGGGCTGTGCCAGAGAGGCTCTGAAGGCCATCCAAGCTGTCGGCAGCAGCAACCAAGAGCGTCGTCCGAAGATCGCACGGGCTCAAGTTTTCCAGGTTGTCGGCTGGGTGAACATCTACGTCGCCAACGACAGGCAGGCTGAGTATCCACCTTTCAGCTTCCGTTCTCTGCTCACCCTCGCGCGCTGCGAAGAGGGTACCTTCTGGTTCGGGCTCCGCATTCTCAGCCTCACTTGAAGTGTCGCTCTCCACTGCCTTCGGCGAGGTCCGAGAGGTGCACGTAGAGAAGGCATCGTCATCAAGCTTGTTCAGGAAACTGAAGATGCGTTCCGGGTACTTGCCATGCAGGATGCCGCAAGGGATCCCCGCACAGTGGGCCGTCCGGGCAGCAGCTACCTTGGTGGACATGCCGCCGGTGCCCAGGGAAGAGCCAGGTTCACGGGTGTCAACGTCGAGTTCGAAGGCCTCGTTGACAACCCTCATGGGCTCCGCGGATGGATCCAAGTTGGGGTTGGCCGTGTACAGGTAGTCCACGTCGGTAAACAGAAAAACACCAGCCGCCCCTAGCTGAACCGCTGTTAGGGCTGCCAGGTTGTCGTTGTCACCAAAGCGCATGCCGTCCGTGTTGGTGGTGTCGTTCTCATTGATGATTGGAACCACGCCAGCTTCGAGACATGCTGCAATCGTGTCTCGAATTTCAGCCCAGCGCTGCTGCTCCAAAAAGTCACGCTGACTCACCAAGAGCTGAGCAATTTTCAGCCCCACTGTCTCGAACAGCTCCGAGTACACACGCATGATGCGACTTTGGCCGGCCCCAGCGACTGCTCGTTTCAGTGCTGGCGTCGTGGGCTTCTTCTTCAACCCCAGCTCGCGGCAGCCCATGCCAACTGCTCCGGAAGAGACAAGGACAACCTTGAACCCTTGGTAGGAGAGGTCGGCGATGACTTCAACTAGCCTCGAGAGGTTCGCGACATTCACGCGCTGGCCTCGCTCGTCCGAGGTCATGATCGTCGAAGTTCCGACCTTCAACACGAGAGTTTGGCACGCGGCCGACATCGTGAGTCAAGAGCGTATAACTTGGCAAAATCCCTCTACTCTGTTCTCTATGTGCTGTGCTTGAGCCACCGAGCGGTTTTGGGACAAGGCATTCAGGATGTGGGCAAATCTATGACTTGCGAGGCGGAGAAGGAAAATTTTGGTGGGCCGAAGTGTCTGGGCTCTATACTCGAATCACGAACGTGCACTCTGTGACTCTGCGAGGACTTAATTCTTTGTCGGATCCCAGACGTAACATGCCAGCAGCCTTGCCTTAGCGGGAAAAAACAGGTGAGGTCGCCAAAAATTATACACCCTAAAGCCAAAACCCTAAACCCTAAACCCTAAACCCTTTGAGGCAACCACTTCCCGACGCTCGCGCGGGGCCCGCAGCGCCGGCAGGACAGCGCCTGTGGAGATCTCGCAGCCTGAGTCGGGTTTTTGGACTTCCACAGGTTCGTAGGGGTTTAGGAGTGTAGGGTTTAGGGTTTAGGGTTTTAGGGTTTTTAGGGTTTTTAGGGTTTTTAGGGTTTTTAGGGTTTTTAGGGTTTTTAGGGTTTTAAGGTTTTTTTTGGGTTTTTGGGGTTTTTAGGGTTTATAGGGTTTATAGGGTTTATAGGGTTTAGGGCATAGGGGTTAGGGTCTATAGGGTTTAGGAGCTAGGTTTAGGGTTTAGTGGTTTAGGGGGGGGGGGGGGTTGGTAGGGTCTAGGGCGTAGGAAGTAGGTGTTTCTTAGGGTTGAGGGGGTTTAGGGCATGTAAGGGTTTGGGGCTTAGGGTATCTACGGGTTAGGGTTTCTGTCGGGGCTGAGGAAGTCGAGTTGGGGGTTTGGGCGTGCAGGAATTTAGGGTTTAAGTCTTGGGGCTCACCTAAAGAGGCTAATCTCCGAGCCCTGGACCCTAAACTCTAACCCTAAACCCGAAGTATACGGAACTAATAAGAGGGATAGGTAGCCCAACCCCAACACCTCAATTAACAGCCCTAAGAACTAAGCCTTGTGCCGTAAGAGCCCTAAGCCCCGAGCCCTGAGCCCTAAGTCGTAAACCAGTACAACCAAATCCCTGCTAAACCCTTGCAAGAAGGAGAAAAACAACTGAATCTGCTTAAGGCCCGAGAACTAGGAGACCTCTCTAGAGCTCCTCAGACGAAACGCATACGCCCTTCACGGGTTACGGTTTAGGGTTCAGGGCTTAGGGCCAGCAGATCCTCCCGAGACTCCGCGCGCCCACAGCTGAAGAACGTCCGCAGGGAGGTGCAGTCGTTCAGGAAGATGAGGTCCGCGGCGTGGCCTTGGAGATTTTGGGGTTTAGGGTTTATAGGGCTTAGGCCTTGGGGTTTTAAGGTACAGGGACTTCGGCACCGTAGATACTCCCGTAAAAGGGTAGTCAGGCACCTTTATTCCCTACAAAGAGCTGCTAAGTTTTATGGGCTTAGGGCGTCTAGCGAGGGTTTTTTTCCTTCTCACGGCGCTCGCGGGACACGCGGAGACGGCTTCTGCAATTCCGCGCGGAGCTGCGTCTGTGCACATGCAGATGTTATATCGCTTCCTTGCTGCAACAGATCCTGGTCTCGACAGCAAGAATGACCTCAGCCTACGCCGTTCTACAAACTTCCTAAACCCTAAACCCTAAACCCTAAACCCTATATTCCAGGATCCATTTGAGCAACTCCTCTGTACAGTGAGACGGAGCCGAAGCGGTCGTCTTCTGCTTGGAGGATCGGTGAGCAGCAAACGCGGCACTCTTGGATCAGGGCTGAGACCGGAACCCGTTAAACCCCCAACATTTATTGTACTAGTATGTTGTTAGACTAATCTTCTACTATATTGATATGTTTGTTGTATATGGTTGTATGGCAATATGATAATTCTGAATATTGAATCATTCTAGCAATTTAACTCCTAATTCATTAGACTAAGATTTCAATATGATTATATATATATATATATGCACCATGATACCAGTGTAGTACTATGATACTATATTATAACATGACTCTATCAAATACGACTATACTGCTATTGTTCTATGATTATGTTATTCTATCATATAGCCTATTCTTATTTTCGCAAGTTAATGTATTCTTATTTTGTTTAATCCATGTCGTCTTATATTTAAACTAACATATTGTTGCATTATAATTGAAAAAATCTCAAGGTTTAGACCCAAGTTTGGCCCTATAAGAAGAAAGGTCCTACAGAAATCGTGTACCTCAGCTCAGCAGTCCCTGAGACTTGCGGGGTTTTAGGGTTTAGGGTTTAGGGTTTAGGGTTTAGGGCTACCATGAACCAATGCTCCCCATAAGCATCCATAAGTCAAAAACCCGAAGCCCTAGACCCTCTCAGAGCTCGCCAGTGCCCTCCCCGGCACCCAGCTGAGAGCGGCCGTGCAGGAGAGCGCCTGCTTTCAGGGTTTCGGGTCGAGGTTTAGGGTTTAGGGTTTAGGGTTTGGGGTTTAGGGTTTAGGGTTGTGGGTTTAGGGTTTAGGGTTGCGGGTCTAGGGTCTAGGGTTTGGGATGTTCCCCCTTATACTAGCAGTCCTTAATCGGGAGTATGATCGGGGGTACTATAATCCCAATTAAGGACTGTTAGTATAAGGGGGAACATCCCAAGTTTTGGATTTGGTGGCTTTGGATGGTACTTTAGGGCTGAGGGCTCAAAGCTTATAGGGCTCTACATGGGGGCCACAGATCTCGTCTCTTGGGACAGGGAGTTCTACAGGAAGATTCTGCTGAAGAACTCACCCAAGCGTCGAGTCTAGAGTCGAGCCGAGCACTCCGGAAGGAGCTTTAGAGGTTCGAGTTTTGGCCAAAGTTTGGGTTTGGGGCTTAGCGTTAGGGTTTTCGAGTTTTGGGCAAAGTCTTGGGTTTAGAGTCCCTCCGCCTCCACCCTAAACCCGAAACGGGGCGCCAGCTATATCCTCCAGACCCCAAAACTCTGACCCCGAACCCTCTACCTGAAGCTCTTACCGCTGACGTATGTCCTCAACCCTACAACACAACCCAACACCTCTACACCGACCTAAATGGCAGACAAATAGTGAAGCCGTTAAACTCCCAAAACCAGGCGCCTAGGGGCCACTCCAGATCCTCGCCGTCTACCTGCAATCGAGAGGGCACCAACGGCGAGTCTACTGTGACAGCTTCACTTTCTGGAAAGTCCAGGGCAGGCTGCTTTGCTCAAGGCACAGCGTGGATGAGGGCTTGAAGCTTGGGGTTCGAATTCACCAAAGGGCAAGTTTCGAGCCCTAAACCCTGCTTCATAAACGACGAAGCCCTTCGTCCCAGCTACGCCCTAAGTGCTGGTCGCCCCGAAACCATTGTCCCAAGATGTCCGGATCCTGGCACTCCCCCAAGCCCTACAGACCCTCTTCCCTCAAAGCCCCGGTCCCTGAAATAAGTTTGGGGTTTAGGGTTTAGGGTTTCGACTAGAAGCACCCAACCCCCCTCCTCCCACGCCGATGGGCGCCTCTAGGGCAAAAGTCACCTTTCGAGAGTCCTTCGCGAAGCCGTAGACATCTCCTAAACTCAAGGCTGTGTAGCTTCGTGGTCTTCCTTTAGGGTTGGCTGTTCCTCCTGAAAAGAGTTTGCAGCAGGTGATTTTGAAGTGCCGCCTTATACTTTCCACTTGTAGAAGGTTGTGGGCACAGCTTAGGGACGGTGGTCTTGTCAGCGAGAAGGGCTATGTTACCACCTGTTTGGCTTGTAGGAATCTAAGCCCTAGGCCCTAAACCCCTCGAACAAAACCCTAAGGCTCCAAATAGCCCAAAGTAGGTATTATTTACAGACTGTAGGACCCGAATGTAGGTATTATTTGAAAACTGGGAGCCCCCGGGAAAAAGGCATAAGCGGCATAAGGGTACCTCCTGAGCAGCCAAGTGTCCCAGCAAGACCAGGATGTAGTTGGCTTGAAAACACCTGGCCGGTTTAGGGTTTAGGGTTTAGGGTTTAGGGTTTGGGGTTTAGGGTGATGGTCCCTGGTCCCCCTGTTGGTGTTCTCCCAAATGATGGTCCCTTCTGGTGTTCCTCTCACACTGCGTAGCAGTGCTTCGGATTTTAAGGGGGGTGTATAGAGTTTAGCTACGTCTCTACCCTAAACCCTAAACCCTAAACCCTAGAAAAGACACCACGATTTCGGAGAACTGCCTGCCTGAAGGGCAGGTTGTCATAGTCCGTGAACTGGTGTCTGGTGGTCTTCGAGTCGGTCCACGACTTGACCTTCTCATACTGTCCTGCGCACCTGGGCCCAAACAAGTGAAAGAAGGGAGCTGCATGCAGGAGCCCTAAACCCTAAACCCTAAACCCTAAACCCTAAACCCTAAACCCTAAACCCTAAACCCTAAACCCTAAACCCTAAACCCTAAACCCTAAACCCAAACCATAAGGCCTGCAAGTGCAAAATGAGCGTGTAGATCCTGAACCTCAAGCTGCTATGTCAACCCTAAACCCTTCTGAACCAAGCAAACGCTCTAAGCCCTACATCGCGCTGAACCCTATGTTAATATATTATAAACCCTATACTATATGTTGAACCCTATAATATATATATATATATATATATATGGTGCCCCCCCACAAAAAAAACACACACGTCTCAGGTCACCTATTAGAATCCCCTATAAAGCCTAAAGCTCAAAGATCTCCCAGGTGCCCCCAAGGCACATGCGGTCCACGGCTGCCTCCAGCTCCAGCAGGGTGGGCCGAGGGAAGTTCTTCAGGAACTCGTGCTCCTGCCCGGAGTTCTGCAGCCACCAGCGCACGAAGTCCATGACGTAGGTAAGCCTGGGGAGGGTTTAGGGTTTAGGGTTTGGGGTTTGGGGTTTAGGGTTTAGGGTTTAGGGTTTGGGGTTTAGGGTTTAGGGTTTAGGGTTTGGGGTTTGGGGTTTGGGGTTTGGGGTTTGGGGTTTGGGGTTTGGGGTTTGGGGTTTGGGGTTGAGGACGTGGAGGGGAGGGGTTCGTAGGGGGTGTGCAGAAATTTGCACTACCCCTCGGTTCGGGTTGGTTTGAATTTGCTGTGTGTAGACGCGGATGTGCACATACGAAACCACTGTGTCAGAGTAGGAAACACAACGAAATCGAACATCACAAATGCATGTGTATATGGATGTACAAAAGTATTTGCACTGCAAGAAGCATGTCCGAAGTTCAGTCCAAGCTATCCTAACCTTAAACTCTAAACTCAAACCCTCACCCCCCCCCCCCCCCCCGCGGTGTATGATGGGATAACAAGTTCTTGCTCCCTAAAGCCGAACCCTGACAACTCAGCTCAGCCAGCCTTGGGGGCTGTCTACAACCACAAGAATCCTGAACCCTGAAAGCCCTCAACCCGAAACCCTTCAAACCCTGAAGCCTACAAATCCTCAAGCCTATCCCAGGATTTAGGGTTTAGGGTTTATGCCCCCCTAAGGCCCTGCAAAGCCTAACCTCATAGCCCCCCCCCCCCCCCTCCCGCCCCCCAGGTGCTGGGGCAGGTGGCCCGGAGACTCCGAGGAAGTCGACATCGCCCCGGATTGCCTTCGCACTGTCCTCGTTGCCCTGTCCAAGGTTGGGTTTAGGGTTTAGGGTTTAGGTCTTAGGGTTTAGGGTTTAGGGTTTGGGCTTTAGGGTTGTACTAACCTTACTTGTCCAGTATCCTTGGGGAACTAAAGGTTAACCTTTGGGATTAATTATAAAGTAAAGGGAGTAGAATACCCCAAAAGGATAAAAGGGTACCTACTCTACTACTAAGCAACCAACTAGAGCGCCTGGGGTTTATGAGGCTTCGGGTTTAGAGTGCATCTGGGGAAGCCCTACAGCCTAAACCCTTAAATCCCGTAATCTTCATATCCGAAACCCTTGCACCCACTTCCTTGAAGAACCCTCTGAACGTTAAACCACAAAACTCCAAACCCTCAAATAACCCCTAAACCCTAATCTTTATCAAGCCTTAACCCTGAGCCCTGAACCCGAAACCCTAAACCCTAACCCCCCCCCCCCCCCCCCCGCCTTAAGGTCACCCAGGCAAGCGCTCTGTGACTCCGCGAGGCAGTGAGAGGACTCCTGCTGCAACATGTCTCCGATGAGCTTGCCTGACAGCTCGGAGCTTAGATTTGGGGTGGGGTTTAGGGCTTAGGGGGTTTTAGGACTTTCAGGTTTAGGGTGTAGACTTTTGAGGGTTTTGGAGTTTGGGGGGGGGTTGCGGTTTGGGGTGTGGACTTTGTAGTCTTGGGGCTTAGGGCGGGGCTTTGCGTAGGGACCTGGGTGATGTAACCGCAAACCAGGGGCGACGTGTGCTTAGTTCCAACAACTGTCG